CACATCCACTGCATTTACATTGTCCCAAGTTTACTCTTCTATTATATTCTGTTTCTTCTCTGTACACTTTTGGTCTATCTCAATACTAGCATTTAAGCATCTATAGTGCATAAAATGTACAGAAGGCAGATTTCTTCTGATATTTTTCACCCTATTCATTATGTAAGGTCCATTTTAAACTTCATTTCCACTATGAACACCTGTCTCACCAATTTCTTTCCTTCTCCAGAAAGAATGTAGATAGCTCTTTGTATACTCATATAAATCTATTATATTATTCTTCTACTATGTCTCCTCAAGACAAGGGATCATAACTTATTCATTTGTACTATGAGTACTTTGTCTTATTAGCACTTAACCTATAGTAGGCAATCAGTAAGTGCTTGTTAAATAAATGAGTGAATGGGTGCCAATGTTGCTACAAATGAAATTGGGGAAAGTGCCTAATAGTCACAAACATCCCTTAAACATCATGTTCTTCAGAGCTCTGTTTATCTAAGTCCCTTTTTCTTCCCACTTTACCCTGTTTCTTTTGATGATCTGTTACCACCAGGTGTTTAGTCACTATCTGCCATATGTCAGTCCCTCCCAAGTCTCTGTTTTTAGTGTAGGCCTATCTCCTGAGGACCAAACCCATAATTCCACCTACTTACTAGACTTCTCCAATGGGTGTGTCTACAGGCATTTCAGACTCAGTCTAGTCTGCCAAATCTTTATTCGTTAACTTCTCTATGCACTCCATCCCAACCTTGCTTCTTTTCTGCCTCCTCCTCTGATGTTCTCTAAACAGTGAATGGCAGGACTATCTAGTCAATTGAACAAACCTGATATATCCCCAACATATGGCAAATTTCCTGGTACCTAGTAGGTATTCAATTAATATTTGTTGAGTAAATAAGTGCCCTTCACTTAAGATGGTCAAATTAATTGAAAATGATAAATGTGGTGGTTACAATTAGAAATGGACTTAGACTCAATAGTAAAAAGCTAGAATCAGAGTAGGCTCTGGGAATGTCTCATCTTTCACTTTGGTGTCTTTAGAACATCCAATAAACCAATGTCACTTATCAAGGAGAATGAAATCTTACCATTTGCAATGATATGGATTAGAGAACATCATGTTAAGTGAAATAAGTCAGTCATTGAAAGACAAATGCCATATGATCTCACTTATATGTACAATATAAAGAACTGACTAAATGAGCAAAATAAATAAAAATAGTCTCAGAGATACATAGCAAAAACTGATGGTTGCTAGATAAGAGGGGGGTGGGGATGAGGGAGAAGGGAAAGGGATTAGATAGCATAAATTGGTAACTATAATATTGGTCTTGCATCAGCTTAGCAAAAGGCTCAGGGCCCCCTGTGCTTGTTGCCACCTGTCCGTTGCCCATAAGGCCCAACTGTTAAAAGAGGCTCCTTAGGGGGATGTGTCTGGATGGTTGACCTGATGTTGAGAGTTCCCTCAGCGATGTGGCACTAGCTGGGCAGGGTGGAGTTCAAGTGAGTGATGAACCGTGACCGGTGGTTTTTACAATATTAATGCAGATTCAGATATTATGTTTGTACGTGGCCTGTAACCACCTTGTATTGTACCCCTGGGATGCTGCCGCCAGCCTCCACCACAGGCTCGAAAATTCTTGAGAGCTGTTCCCAAATGGTTGTGGTACAGGTTTTGGGTCACTCTTCACCACCAAAATATTCCCAGGCCATTGCAGATTGTTCACTGTTGTAAAACACCTCCTCTGTGGTTTGTGAGGGTGGGGCTGTGTCCAGAGTGCCTCTGGCAATGCAGTTGTAGGTGGCTAGGAAAAGTTATGGGGGACTACAGTGTGTGGTCAGTGGTTTTTACAAATTCTTTGTAATCTCAGCTCCCGGACAGGTGCTCAGCCCTCGATGACTCTACAGAACAAAACAAAACAAAACAAAATAACAACACAAAACAAACACACACACTAAAAAACCACACAATAACAATCTAAACAAACAAAAATACAAAAAACAAAAGCAAAACAAATAAGCAAAAAAGAAAAAAAAACCTAAAAAACACCAAGAAACTAAACTAAAGCAAAAGAAAAACAGAACAAAAAAAGTAGAAAAAAGAAAAAGAGAAAGACAAGAGAAAACAACAGAAGAAAAGAAAAAGAGGGGAGAGAGAGAGAGAGAGAGAGAGAGAGAGAGAAAGAAGAAAAAGAGGACCAAAAAGAGGGGGAAAAATGTAAAAAAAAAGAAGGTGAAGAAAGATAAGAAAAATAAAATACGCCAAGTCCAGCCACCACCAGTCTATGCTGCAGAGCAGGTCTTGTCTTAGCGCCCTTTAGTAGTCTCTTCTGGCTGTTGTGGGTTGTCCTCTGCTGAAAAAAAAACTTTCTCTGAGCAGCTTGCAGAGGTGGGGCTGGCCAGCAGGTGCTTAGAGTGCTCCTGGCAATGCAGCTGTAGGTGGGTGGAGTAAGCTTCCTTGAGCTATGGGGTGTGATCAGTTGTCAGTGCAATCTCTGTCTCAGCCCTCAAAAACATGCTGAGAACACCATGGCCAGAGCTTCTGAAATCCCAAAGCTTCCGCTTCAACTGAATGCTGAGCTTGTGTGTCTCAGCTGCTCTGAATACCCAAAGGGATCTGCCCAGAAAGGTGGGGGCCGGGGCAGATGTGGAAAGGCGGTTGGAGCCTGTAGCTCTGATCAGCCCAGAGCTGGCTCATCTCCCCCAGCCCCTTCCTTGTCACCTGAAAGGACCAGACTGTCGGTGCAGTTCTGAGAGTTGTAGATATTTTGTTCTGTAATCAGACACTAACTGTTTCTTCTGAAGCCCAGTTCTAACTCTGAGGAGGGTGGGGGTGGAGCGAGCTCTGTGAGGGTGGGAGGGAGGAAGACAGACTCTGTGTCTTTGTTTTCTGATTTGTGCCTGGATGTGTGGGCTTAAACCTCCATTCTCACCTGAGGTCTCTGCCTTGAACGCTAGATTCAGCTGCCTTGTATGCTCATCCCTCAGGCATAGATGTGTCTGAAGCCTGAATTTTTTCCTTTCCCAAGGCTGCGGCTCTGGTCCGCATCATGGAACCCTGTGGTTTGTGGCTGGCTGATGGGTCTTTGCACTTCCTGCTTCCCACCTCCCCCGCTAGCCTGATTTGCCCACCTTCAGTGGATTCACAGTGTGATTTTCTCAGGCGTACTTGTGTGATGTGTAGAGAGAGTGCTTTGTTGAATTATAGCTGTTCAATTTGCTGTAACTTCCAGAGGAGATTTCAAGAAGCTCTCCTCATGACGCCATTTCTGTGACATCATCCTCTGAGGACTAAATTGTTATAATCATGTGAAGTGCGTGGTTATTTAAGAAATATTAGATTTCTTCATTTCTTCCATCCCAGTAAGGCACTGGGAAATGCCTGACTGTATTTTGAGTCTGTTAGAATTTCTAGTCAACCTTAAGGCTCTTGTCAGACTATAAATGACCTAGGAAATTATGAATGTGGTGGATTATTATTGCCTCATTCATTTGCATGATTTGATGTTGCTCAACAGCAATGGTTATGAGAGGAAACTTGCCATCATTTTTATGTGACATACGCATGCTCCTCCCTCATATTTGCCTTGGGGGGAGTCTTTCATCCTGGTGCACTTAACCAATGGGAAATGACTAATGCCCTGAGAGCTCTCATTGGTTACTTTGGGTGTCCACATTTTCTCATTGGTGTAAACATCAGCCAACACACATCCACTTATTAGCAGCGGTTCTGTTACATTTTAATTAGGCAGTAACTGACTTTGGCTAAATCAAGATATCTTTCCCAACTATGTAGAGACTGTATTCCTTCCTCCTTCCATTCTTCACAATGCCCCCCTCTTCACTTTCCACCCCAAGTAGACCAATGGTAGCCCATTCTCTTCAAATGCTCAGAAAATTGAGCTTTCTCCAACTAACAACTACAACAAAAAAACCAACAGTGACATAAACTACTTGTATTTCTTTGGAAACATGTAACTCTAGTAATGAGGGAACTGATATAACTTCAGCGAGTATGTTCGTATAATGGTGTGAGTTGAGGAATGGGCATATGGAAGCAGGTTTTTCTAGCAAGTGACACACTGATATGATAACCATTACAAAGAGGTCTTTGCCAGGATGAGTTGATAGATGGATGACTCTCACCAAATATCTGCCTTTACTATGACAGACCCTCTCATTCATCAGTTTATTTTACCCGGTTGTCTTAAAAGCTTCCCCATTTGAATTTCTCTGGGTATGGTAGGAACAGGGTATAGTTGGGGGAGGGGGGGCTGACTAGTAAAAGAGGGAGCAGAGCAGAGGACTTGGGGAGGGGAATGGGAATTTCCATGTAAGAGACTTTCTGAATCTAAAAGCAAACAATTCATTGCCCACACCTCCCACTCCCTTGATAGAGTGCTGTTGGCATCAGTGTTACTGCAAAAATAAAATAAATAATAAAAGAAATAAAAATAAATCCTTGTTTCTTAGAAAAAAATAGCGAGACAAAGACAGGACATTCAAATGCAGCAGTGGGAAGGGAAAAGAAGGAGAAAATGCACTTGGCAAGAATTCAGAGACAGCCATTTATCTTTATTGAAATGGCACTGAATTAAAAACTCAGAGGAGGTAGTGGCATCTTTAATAGAAATATTAAAAAGAAAAGGCCATTACTACCCAGTAAACATTGTAGGGAAAAGAAAGTGTATGCAGGGTGTCTTGTTATTTATTTTTTCTTATCTCCAAACAAAGAGATCTGTGCTTGATACCGAAACAAGGCAAATACACTCGCCACATACCCTGGCGGTTCTGAACCTCTTTCAGAAAGTCAAGGCCTCCCTCACCCTCCTCCCACAATCCTCATCCCCATCTCCTCCTGGCTGTAAATCCTGACCCTCTCTGCCCCGGCTGAACACGTCCCTCAAGCCCCGGTTTACTCAGCGCTTATTTCCGGAACGCGGACTTCCATAATGGCAGTATTTTTCTCTCTGACGAATGGTAAAAAATGAGGTTGTGAGAACAATTAGAAACTTTAATTACTCTCCAGACATCTCACAATAGAAGCCACATTGTTGTTTTTTATAAGAAATTAGCTACAGATTGGGTAGCACTTGTCATGCTTTAAAACATTTCCCGTGTCTTTTTGGCATAGCTATGCTCTTCTTAGAATGCTGGAGCTCTCATATTCCTGCTCCTTCTCCCTATTTCTCTCTTCTTCTTCTTCTTCTTTTTTTTTTGGCTTGTCAATTCCAGCACCTTCACATACATTACCCCATCCTTTCATCTCCAAGATGACCTGAAACGACCTTTTGCTTGGCACGAGACGTGATTCAACTGATAATAAAAGAATTGGGGGTGGGGACAGCTGTGGCTGGCTGCGCTGGGCTGATAGGGATGGGGGGTG